ATTGTAGAGATGAGGTCTCGCTGCCCAGGCAGGTCTCGAGCCCGCGGGCTCAGGCAATCCACTCACCTCAGCCTCCCAAATGAGCTTTATTTTTTCTTCAGCTTTCAGTTGCTATTGACTACATCTATAGCACTGTTAAATTAGAAATAATTTTTTTGGGGGAGGGGAATAAATTTTCTCGGCCTGGCGTGGTAGCTCAAGCCTGTAATCCCAGCGCTTGGGGAGGCTGAGGTGAAGGGATTGCCTGAGCCCATGGGTTCGAGAACAGCCTGGGCAACCTTGCAAGTAGCATGCTCCAGCTACTTGGAAGGCTGAGGCGGAAGGATCGCCTGAGTCCAGTAGGTCGAAGCTGCAGTAGTCATGAGAATGCCACTCTACTCCAGCCTGGGCAACAGAGTGAGACTCCAACTCAAAAAAAAAAAAAAATAATAATAATAATAATTTTTCTCATGTTGACTGCTGTTTGTTAAGAGAATCTGAAGTGCCATCAAAATTATCAGAGAGAAATAAAATTATTTTCAGTAGCACATTAGGGTTAGGTTTAATATTCGTTGGTAATATTTATATCAAGCTGCTTACTAAAAAAAGTAAATTAGTTATCAAATATTTCAGGGAACCTCTCTGAATCTGTTGTAATTCTAGGGGCTGTACGATTTAAAAAAATAGGTTCAGCCACAAAGAAAAGTACAGAGAAACAATATAACTAGAGCATGCCTTTCCTTGAATTTTTCTACTGGTTAGTTTTTATAATTTCAGGTATTCTCTGCCTCAGTTTCTGATGCCCTCTGGGTCCACAAGCATCTAAACATAGTAGGGAAAGGTTGAGTTTGAAACTACAAAGAATATAAAGCAGAAATTCCCAACCTGAACTACACATCAGCTTAGTCTGTTTTTTTTTTTTTTTTTTTCATAATCAATATTTTATATTATGGTTTTGTGGGGTACAGTTAAGGGTTAGGTATACAAATACGTTTCATTCAGGCACCCTGTTGATAAGAGGTGTTTCCCCGTCCCCAGACAGATATTTGCTACCGTTAATCCCATCTCCCTCCCCCCCATAGTTTCCCACTACTGTCAGTCATTTTCTTATAGTATTACATTGGATGTTAAAGGTCTATTATATGAGTGAGAACATGTGATACTCGGATCTTTGTTTCTGTGAGAGGTCACTCAGTATTATAGACTCTAGTTCCATCCAGGTTGCTGCGAAATTCATGAATTTGTTCCTTTTTATGGCTGCGTAGTAGTCCTTTGTGTATATGTGCCACATTTTTTAAATCCAGTCCTCTTTTGATGGGCAGCATGGTTGCTTCCAGGTTCTTGCTATTGT